TATAAATTTGAATAGGCTATGAAAATACCTAAATTCAACTATTATTCCAGATAAGAACATAAATTGAATATTAAAATCCATATATCTATATAAATTAGAAATTTAATGATCTTATTCAAGATAAGATACATAAATAAATATTTTAATACCATTATTGTTTAATGAGTAATAATGTACTAGGCTTGAAGTAAATTAAATAATTTAATAAAATTTAGTTATTTGTGAATAAGGGAGATTATTTTATGGAAATGAATAAATTCCAATAGATCCTTCAAAATCTTAATTAACATGATAGGTGGTGTTATTCTCATAAAAAGGAGAGGTAGCAATTAATAGATTAGTTGAAAAAGATGTTAGATATTAAACTACAGATGAATATTAATTGAATTAATTTAATAGTAAAATTTATGAATAATTTACTAAGATATAAATATATACAATTATGTATTATAATTACCTTGATTTACTTCATGAAAATTAGAATAATTTGGTATATAATTAAATTTTGGATAATGTAACATAGTAATTTATTAGATTTTTCTTTCAGTGTGTAAAACTAAAAAGAAGCTGATATAGAGAAACAAATGTATTGTTTAAGAATAAATTCTTCAGCAAATATTTCATCAGATGAGGAGAACGATTTGGATAAGAAAATAAAATAATTATACAGCAAAACTAAGCAAGCTTTATAATCATTTGATTAGCAATAAATTAAGAAAAAAGTAAAGGGGTTAAAAAATTAGAGTAATTTCAGTAGCTAACTCGTTTGTAGTAAATCATTACCATAAGTTCAATTGTTTTTTGTAAATAAAATGTTTTGTCGAGATCATAAGATTAAAGGGTTGACAGCAATATAAAGTTGTTATAAGAAAGAGTCATTAGAAAAATGCGATAATGGTTAATAACAATAGAAATCAAAAACCAAATAGAAATTATAATATAATAGTTCTTTTAGTATTCCAAATAGGAAGATATGCTACTCTTAGATCAACAATTGAAAATATTTTATTGTATTTTATAGTTTTATAAACTACGATAATTAAAAATGAAAAGTAGGGAAGATTCAGTTTCTATAAGGAGTGATGAATAATCACTAGATTTGGATTGTAGAATAATGCAACCAAAGTTTAAATAGCAAGATTATGATACTTATTAAACAGAAACCAGTACATCTGTATATAAAAGAATAATGGAGATTAAGTGTAGTTCAAGTGAGTATAAATTTAAGACAGATCATGAAACTATTTAATCAATGAATAAATATAGATGTAATAGGAAGTTAAGTGATTGTTAATAATTTGGATTAAATGAAGAATAGACAGGAAATGAGTAATGTGTTAATTAAAATTTCAATATTGTATTGGAAAAGGAAAAGAAAAGAAAGAAAAAAAATAAAAATGGATCATTATATTCTGTAAAAAGTTAATCATAATCTCCAATTATGAATAATAAGAATTAATAAATCTAATTATTAGAAACATAATCTAAAAAGTCTCAACGATCAATAAATAAAAGTTCAACATTTAATAAATCAAGAAAAGGAATGAGTAATTCTCAAGAAAAGAAGATTGGTTTAACCTTAGACTATTAGCCAATAAGAATAGTATAGAGATCTAATTATTTGGCCAATTAATTTGATTAATTTAAGGATCCAATCTAAGAAAAGTTAAGTATAAATTAGTTGAATAGATATTCTTTAAATGAAAGTAAATTAGGATAGTCGTATAGGGGTACAAATAATTTCTTATTGATGACATAGTAACCGAAAAGTATATTAAAGAGTAAATCAGTTTGTAGTGAAAGTAGTAATGGAGATAATAGTAGTAGATATAAATCAATAAAATCATCAATTTTTAAAAAAGTTACATTTGAGTCAATTAAAGGTTAAAATATGAAATAATCTCTAAAGAATTTATAATAATAATAATAAAAATTGGTAATAATATAATGAATATTTTTAATCTATATATATACTTAAAATAAATCATTATTTCTATTGATCATAATAAGATGGAGTTTCTAGATATTCTTTTGATTACATTTCCTTTAATCTAGATCTGCATCTTTCAAGTGCAAATTCTTCATCATATTAATCTCCTTTATTTTTAACAATAAAGAGATTCATTAAATCTCTTTCAGCAGAACAATATAATTTAGTTTTATGATTATACATTTCATCAATTAATAAAATAAATCTTCTAGCAGCATTTCTATTACTCATACTAATTTATTTAACTCCTTTAAGACAAATAGTATGATAATTTCTACATAAAGCTATAAAATCAGATGCTCCAACAACATCTTCACATAATTCTTCATATTCAAATAAAGCAACTCCATTGGCTTATTTTTTAACTTTAAAGTTTCTTCCTTCAATAACCTCTATTTCTTTTTCATAACTATTAATAGAATGAGAATTAATTACAATTTATCAGTACCACTAATTCTTTTGAATACTCCTTTTATAGTTTGTTCAGCACTTTCATCAAGTGGACTAATATACGTTAATAATCTTTCACTTTAAGCTTCAGACTACAATAGTAAATATAGAAAATTAATACGTAAGAGTATCTATAATCAACCTATGAGTCCATATTGTGAATAATGCATGATTACTTTAAAAATGGAATAAATGGTAAAAATAAATGTCTTTACAATCCTCCTTTATATAAATCTTCAGGAGGTCTGTTAGATGTTGCAACTAATACCATATGATTATTAATCATTGTTTCAAATAATCTTTTTAAAATCAAAGCATCACCTATATCAGTAACTTAAAATTCATCTAGACATAATAATCTTAATTCTTTAGCTTTGGCAGTTCCAACTTTATTAACAGGATCCTCCTTACTAGAACATTTATGTAAATCTTTTTAGATATCAAGCATAAATTCATTAAAATGAATTCGTTTCTTTTAAGCTATTTAACATTATTCATAAAATAAATCCATTATATAAGTCTTCCCACATCCTGGTGAACCAAACACATATAAACCTTATATCTATTATACAAATGGTCGATTATGATCTTATTAAGTTGATTATAGTCTTGTATCTTTAAGACTTACACTCTATGACCCACCGAACAAAGAGCTAAAGAATGATGACTACTTTGCAGAAGGCTATTAAACTTAACTTTCTTATGCTCTATAGTTTCTTTTTATAAAATCATCCAAAAATTTTGAATATTGTAACCATTATTAATGTGTTTTCATCAATTCATCATTCACTCTATCCAATTAGACAATCTTTTAACCTTAATTATTTTATCATACCGTATTCACTTACCTCTCATCTCTTGCTATTTCCTCTTGTCTTACTAAGTATTGATACTGCTCCAAAACTGCTCCAAAGTTGAATCTCACCCTTCTTAAACCCAAAAACATTTATAATAATTTTTATTTAACCCAAGATTAAAATTAAATCATCAATCATTCCTTATTATTTTTATATATAACCAATTTAACAATCCCATTATTATTACTATTACAGATACTGTTAAACTAACCAATTACCAATATCTTAAACAATCATTCTAATTTTATCTCTCATCTATCCATCCCAATTATGACTTATTACTATTCTCGTCTATCAAACAACTCTTCTTGTGACAACTTAATTCAAAAAAAAAGTATTTCGAAAAATTATATATTGTTTATGTATTTTTTTTAGAAGTTGTTGAATTCTCTTAAATTATTCTATACATTATTTTTGCTCTTTCATCTAATCTTATAGGAACCTATGCATTTTATGTATTTTTTTACATAATTTAATTGAATTATCTCTACAACCTTTGTTTCTTGTTTCTAAATGTAAAAATTTTTTGATTTTATTTTGTAATTTAAAGGATTTGACAATTCTATTTAAATTTCAAGCATATTTTATGAGATATTTTTAACTTGAAATTCAGTCTAAACTTGCAAAGTGTTTCTATTATAAACAAATGTTAGTTTATTCAAAGCAGAGAAAATCAATAATTCCTCCATATATATTTTGCCTTTTAAAGAATACTTCAAAACTAATAATTAAAGAATTTAAAACAAAATTACGTTATTAATTAAATATGAAATCGAGGCTTCAAAATGGAAATTATTTTTTGAATTAAGATTTCGCCCTTTATGTAAGACCGTAAATACCTATTACTATCCAATCAAAATCAGCCATTGAAATAAAATCTATTCCCTAAGCATCTAACTATCAAAAAAAATAGAAAACTATTCACTATTATGATCAATACAAATTTGAATAATATACATCAGCAAAAACAAAACTATATGATTTACTAAGTCTTAGATAAAGTAAATATAACAATATATGTTAGCTAATAGGACACCAATTTAAAGAAGAAGATAACCTGAATCATCTCACATAGTTAGAAGAAATCCAGAGATTTTGACATCCATAGTCGAAGTAAATGATGTAAAATAAAAAGTAAAAACTGTAAGTTAAGAATGTCAAAGAACTTAATAAAAAATAGCAATAGTTCAACATTCATCATAATTGGCAAGCACATAAAAGAGAAATCATAATCATTCAAAATCATCTTATAATAATAATACCTCGACACCTATCCTTAATAAAACTGTCTCATAATTTTAATGTTTCACTCCTCTAACAAATTAAAAAAACAATTCTTAATCTGATCTCATGAAAAGAATTAAATAATAAAAATTAGAAAGTCTAATTAATCTTATTATTAATAATCAACTTAATAATATTGTAAATGGTTTTACACTTATAAAAAATACTGCACCTCTTCTTCCTTATATTAAAGAATTAGAAAGAAGAAAAGCAGAATTTAAATAAAAAAGATTCCAAATTAAATTAATCAGAATTAAGTGAATAACTGAAAAATTAATAATAAAAACATTTTTTTTATTTAATTTATCTTAAATATCATATTATAGTTTATAAACAAAATANCTCTACAACCTTTGTTTCTTGTTTCTAAATGTAAAAATTTTTTGATTTTATTTTGTAATTTAAAGGATTTGACAATTCTATTTAAATTTCAAGCATATTTTATGAGATATTTTTAACTTGAAATTCAGTCTAAACTTGCAAAGTGTTTCTATTATAAACAAATGTTAGTTTATTCAAAGCAGAGAAAATCAATAATTCCTCCATATATATTTTGCCTTTTAAAGAATACTTCAAAACTAATAATTAAAGAATTTAAAACAAAATTACGTTATTAATTAAATATGAAATCGAGGCTTCAAAATGGAAATTATTTTTTGAATTAAGATTTCGCCCTTTATGTAAGACCGTAAATACCTATTACTATCCAATCAAAATCAGCCATTGAAATAAAATCTATTCCCTAAGCATCTAACTATCAAAAAAAATAGAAAACTATTCACTATTATGATCAATACAAATTTGAATAATATACATCAGCAAAAACAAAACTATATGATTTACTAAGTCTTAGATAAAGTAAATATAACAATATATGTTAGCTAATAGGACACCAATTTAAAGAAGAAGATAACCTGAATCATCTCACATAGTTAGAAGAAATCCAGAGATTTTGACATCCATAGTCGAAGTAAATGATGTAAAATAAAAAGTAAAAACTGTAAGTTAAGAATGTCAAAGAACTTAATAAAAAATAGCAATAGTTCAACATTCATCATAATTGGCAAGCACATAAAAGAGAAATCATAATCATTCAAAATCATCTTATAATAATAATACCTCGACACCTATCCTTAATAAAACTGTCTCATAATTTTAATGTTTCACTCCTCTAACAAATTAAAAAAACAATTCTTAATCTGATCTCATGAAAAGAATTAAATAATAAAAATTAGAAAGTCTAATTAATCTTATTATTAATAATCAACTTAATAATATTGTAAATGGTTTTACACTTATAAAAAATACTGCACCTCTTCTTCCTTATATTAAAGAATTAGAAAGAAGAAAAGCAGAATTTAAATAAAAAAGATTCCAAATTAAATTAATCAGAATTAAGTGAATAACTGAAAAATTAATAATAAAAACATTTTTTTTATTTAATTTATCTTAAATATCATATTATAGTTTATAAACAAAATATATAAATAAATATCAGATTTTCCTATCAATAAGATTTCGATTCTGTATTACATCAGATTCTCAATATTTGTTTAATATAATATAAGAATTCTTTTTAATCTAATTTTTAATTTAGACTCACGTCTATTTAATTTATGTTTGCTTTGAGTTCTAAATAAAGTTCTTCGAAGATCTATAAAATATCTTAAATTTTTGAGACATTTATATGATATCCTTATATCCATACATAGGATATGGTTATTATAATTTAAAAGTTAAATAAATTTAGATATTTTATGCTATATATACATAATTCACCAAATTTAAGATTTTATTTTTCAATATTTTTATGATTAATTACATAATAAAGAGGATTACCTCCAAAATCTAAAAAATCAATAGAAGGATCAAAAGTAATTTTTATCAAAGGAATTGTTGCTTAAAATATATGTGATAATTATTCTTTATTTTTATTATAACTAATAGCCCATTTCATTTTTGAAAGAACTTCTTGTAATTTTCTGATTGGATCAGATAATTAAGCTTTTGTAAAAACAGGTAATCAAAAAACTACCATATCAACATCATTATCATGAAGTACAAGTTCAGCTTAAAATTATGATGTGCTTTGATTATCTGTTATACTCTTTAAATAGTAACTTCTCTCGCTATTATAAATTTCAATAAATTATCCTATTCTTTTAATATATTAATTATATCTCTCTTGATATTTTGTATTCTAAAATACTCTCAAAAATATTATTTAATGTTTCTTTATCTAGATGATATTTATAGTTTTGGATTCTTTGCTTGCACATATTACTAAGCCGGGTTTTTAAATAGGAATACTCTTTTATACATTTTTTTATGAAAGAGTTTTTGTAGGGGTTAATTTCTCATTTTTAATTATCAGGTAAATAATTTTGTTATGAAGAATTAAATTTTTTCATTAAAATTGTTAATTTCTCAATTAAATCTTCTTTTTCCTTTTTGTTATTTTATTTTTTCCACTAAATTTCTTTTTAGTTATTTTTATAAAATTTGCATCATCATCATTTGTAGAAGTAGTTGTGCAAAGAAAAGTCTCATAATATTCTGGATTTTTTTGACTTTTTAAATAAATTATTAATTTATTATTAACTTATCATAATTATTATTATGTTTATTTAATACATTTAGGTTTGAATCTTTTAATTTGAATTGCCTAATTTAAATGAAATTCTTTAAGTAAAAATCTAAAATTAAGAATTTACAAAAAAGAACATTTTCATTAAGTATTTACTTAAATGGAACAGAGAATGATTCTTTTGGTTAATCAAAATAATATAAGACTTCTTTAAATAGAGTTTAATGTTATTTTAATATGTTCATTCCTTTTAGATTAATTTCAGTAAAAAATATTTCTAATTAATTTATTGAGTAAGTAATTATTTAAATTCAATAAAAGCTTATTATAAATGAATTGAAAGATAATTAAATCTAACATGATTCATACATACTGAATAAATTTTTTAACAAGTGTAATTATTGCCTTCGCAAGATTAACAATATCTATTAAGTCGAATTGATATATAATATACCAATTTATTTTCTTCAACCAATAATTCTGATAATGTTTAATAAACCTTTATTTTGAAGATTAATTTCAAAATATTTTTGTTCTTCATGTGATTCTAATTCTCCCAAATTAGTAAATATTTTGCCATTTGATATTGCTTGAAATGATGTTATATTTATTCAATATCTCCTTTTAATTTTAGGTATCAAATAATCATTCATTATCAGATGCACTTTAATTAATTGAGATTAATGAAATACTTTATGAGCAATTAAATCAATCTAAGTTAGACATTTACAAATTTAAATAGAGTAAAATCTTTTGAATTCCAATTAAACATTTACTTGAAAAGGACTAAAAAAAAATAGTTAATATTGATTTGAATGATTTTGATCTATTTTGAATATTTTCATATATTAATAAATTCTAAACTTCATTTATAGTTGTTATTTTAATTGTTTCAACTTTGAAATTAAAAAGATTGAATACATATGAAATATTGATTATTAGATTTTGGCTTAATTTCAGATAAAGTATTGGCATAGTAAATTTAGTTGATTAATTTATCTGCTTGATATTGTATGTACTTTATGTGAGAGAATATAAATAAATTATTTTGTAATATTTAAAAAAATTGATAAAATAAATAATTAGGGTATGTTTTTGTTATTTTTAATTGTACTTGAGTATATGCAAAATATATCATCATCTGTACCTTCTGAGCGAAATTCTATTTCTTCTAGCATAATTGGCTCTTCTTGATGGTCTTGTTTAATTGTTTCTGTGACCCTTTACTCTGAGACCTCTACTCTTTCTACCTGCTGATGTTAAACCTATTAATTATAGAATTTGCAAACTATACCTCTTAATTCTCTGTGTTTGTGAACAGGTTTGGTAATCCAATTGATTCTTGGATCTCCTCTAATAGCTGGATGGAATGGATCAACAGTGATGACCTCATAATATTTATATGTTCCATCTTAAGCCACCCAATATGAATTTAAAACTCTCAATGCTCCTATTTTTCTACCAACTCTCTCTTCAGCAACTGATCTGAGATTTCTGGTAGGTTTCAATTGATTAACTCCTTGACTCTTAGGTTTACCCTTAACAAGACCTTTTCTGATCAACAATTTTCTGCCACCTCTTCTGACTCTGACTCTATAAATCACATAACCTTAACAAGATCATTTTAAATTCTAACCTTATTTGGCCTTGTAACCTAATCTTCTGGCTTTATCTGGTCTGCTTGGTCTAGTTGCTCTATGAATGACTGGCAATTATCTGTATTCCCATGTTCTGATTCTCATTATGAAACTGAGGACATCAGATTATTTCTTTTTCCAAAGCTCTTGTAAATATTTATATGCACCCATTATGAAAGAGAAAAAAAGATTTTTATTAATTAAAAAATTTCAAATCGATATAAACAAGCACGCTAAATATACAGAGAATTAAATTTCAAAAAATAGCGTAAAAATATGTCATCAAAGTTCGTACTTGAAGAGATTATTGTTCAAGAAATTCAAATCAAATAAATTACTATCATCATATTACTCCCATTTTGTAAGTTAACTGTAAAAATTCGATTTTACTATACTTTAAGGAGATTCATATCTTTTATATTTCAAAATTTCTGTTCTATTTAAACTTTTAATTTAATTTAATTGACTAATAGATCTTTATTTAATAGTTTTAGGTTTAATTGAGCATTACTCTATATTAAAACCCAAAGTAAATGGACAAGGTCGAAAAGCCCTTTAATTTTTAATCTTTCTTAATGTAGACACGGCTCTCAATATCTTCTAATCATTAACATAAAGTTTCTAATGAGGAGTAGAAGAAGTTTAGTGTTATGAATTAATTTTATGTTACTCCTCAAAAATTTAATATTTTGGTTATAAAGTGCTAAAGCTTTCTATTTATAATCCTAAGTTCATATTCAATTTATATTTCCCTTAAGAATCAACTAAAGCAGTCGATGGACGATTCTACCTTTAAGGAGTAACTTATTTTTATTTTTTTACTATTTTCTCTTTAACTTTATTTCTGTTTAGAATAAATTAATATAATCCATGTTCTTAAAACTTTTACAATTATTAATTTGTATTGTTTCCAAGATTCTTTGTACTGTTCTACATATTATTTTAGCTAAACATTTTTAATATATTGAATTTAAGTCCTTTATATAATAATTATTAAATCAATAATCCATTCGTAAACATTTATGAGTTTGATAACAATCTAAACTAAAAATACCTTTCCAAACATCTAGAATGTGTATATTTTTATTATGATATATAAATCCTATACTATAAGTTTTGGTTTTGTATTCAAAAATTAATAAATTCAGAATCCATAGGTGTATTTAATAACATTTTTTTAATTCATTCTTTCTTAATTTATTATTTTTTTATTGTTTCATAACCATCTTTAAGATCTTGCTTTTCTTTATATTTGCTGATGCATAGAAAGTTCTTCTTCTGCTAATTTATTTGGTGAATTATAATAATCATTCTCTAAAATATTAAGTCCTTAAACTTCATTAATTTTCATCTACATTTTTTAATATGTATAAGTTTTAATATGCTTTTATGTCTAGTTCTTGCCATTAAATATTATTATTAAAAATATTGATTTATTTATATTATATAATCTTAATCCAAAATCTATCATATAGCGTTCTGTTAAAAATTGTGTTTTGATATTTTTTTACAACTTTTTCTTTTAATTTTCTTCCCTTTTGAAACTTTCCATGTTTCTAAATTATAAGAATTCTAATCAATATTTATATAAAATTTTCCATTATCATCATCATACTCTCCTTGTTAGAAATTCCCTTCATATTTAAAGAATCCCTTATCTTTAACCCTAATTACTCCTCTGCCTTCTGGTAATCCATTTAGAAAATTTCCTTCATATATAGTATTTTCTTGAATTTTTATTAGCTACCCTTTTCCAAAATATTATCCATTCTTAATTTCACCCTCATAGATCTCTTGTTTCTCTGCTTAGACAATTAGAAAATATACAGTTTTTTTACTTTTTTTCCCACAAATTTAATTATTTTAATTGCTGACAGACTCGTAATGAAATATTTTATTTTCTTAAACTTATAATATATCTCCAAATATAAGTTATTCATTTTAGAAAACCCCTTTATAATAATTGTTTTTATGATCTACTGCGTATCCTATTTGGAATTCTTCTGCATCTTATAAATAAAGTTATTTAAAATCAGAATAATTTACTTTTTTATTATAATCCTAAATAATACTTTCTCGATCAACTTATTACTCTTTTTTTTACAGATTTTAGTTTTTAATAAAATTATTTAATGCATCATTGCCACCCAAAAAAAACCATTTTAGAAAAGAACATCTTTCTTGATGAACATATGTTTCAAAGTTATTTGAAATTTAATTAAATTCAAATTTACTCTCGTCTATTTTATTCAACTTAGATATAATCTGACTATTTTTAGCCCTGAAATTACTCAATTAGTCTTTGTCTTTCTATTAAATATAATAATCTTCCATATGCTTAAAAACATAATATTAATAAGTATGATTTAAATCAACTAGATTTGGTATTTAATAGTTTCTGTCTATTTCCATTTGATAACATTAATCTTATAAGTCAATCAATTTTTAAATCTTTTCAATTTTCCTCATTTATTTTTCATTTAAATCTAAATACATTTCAGAATATATCCTTTTTAAAAATTTTAAAAATTCTAAATCAAAGTAGTAAAGATAGTTTTCTTCAACTTTCTATATAAAATTTTTATTTTTTAGAATTTCCAATTTATAAAACTCTGCTTAATCTTAATATGCTCCCTTTGAAATAAATTTATTTTATAATTATTATTATTGTTATAGAATTTGCATATCAAGATTTGATAAACTTTGACTAGTGCTTATGTTTGACCTGATAGATTAATTTAAATCATATTTGGGAATTGTTATTTATAATTAGGAAGGTAAAATGGGCCTAAAACTATAATTTATTATATTTACATATTAATAAATTTTTTCCTAATAGTTTCATAGCTATATGAGTATTCTTATAAAAATGAGGAAATGTTTTCTTTATTAAATAATTTCTAAATTTGTTTTTGATAAAATTCATATATTTCTTGATGTAGTAAACATGATTTATTCTCTATTATTTGAATCATTAATTCAGCAATTACATTATAAATAGTATATTAATTATCTTGTTTAAAGTTATCAGTAAGGAAACTTATCATTAATTTCTCACTATCAAAAAAAAAGTTTTCGTTTGTAAGTTTTGGTAAAATTTCATATTGATTTTAAAATAAAATATTGATTAAAACACAAGCTGAATTGAGAAGCTCACATTTTAGATATTCATCAAGTGCTCTTATATTTTTAATATATTTTAAATAATCCTAATTTTACAACCATACTTCTGTTATCTATTTATCTTGATTGTAAATAAGATCCCCTATTTTTATAATATACCCTTAATTATATTATTTTTCTGCCATTTCGTTTTATATATTTTTTAAGTTCTAAAGCTTAACAAAGGTTGCTTTGTTCACATTTTCCAATATTATTACGTTATTTCCTGATTTACTTTTGTATATTTATTCATCAATCTGTATGAAGTTGGAATTATATGAGTCTTTCATAATAATTATTAAATAAAAAATAAGATTTTTCATTTGAATTATATATTTTTTAAAGAATTCTAGTGAAAGAAGCATGCATCTATTAGATTTAATGTTAAATAAATAAATATAAATGATTTTCTTGTTCATAAATAATTAGCGTCTAGAGATGTATTATTTTAGGAAAAATACTTATATGGTATAAATATCTCTGAATTTAATTAAATTGTTACTTCTAGTTATAATTTATAATTATACTCTTTTCTTCGCATTTAATATTTCGAAAGATCAAAAATAGATAGTATTCAAACTTTTATACATAAATTCTCAATTTCTCACAATTAAATGCTCCAAAAAATTATAGAGTCAGAATTTCATTATTTTTATTCTATTCTACTTTGACTAGAATTAATTCATTATTAGAGCATTCAAAAATGAAAGCTAAATATATATGAAATATTTTCGGTATAGTTGTAAATATGAGGTCTTTGAATAATAATTATATTTATTTATTTGGATTTTTTAAGAGAGTTGTATTTTTTATAAGTTTTCTAAGACTAATGGTTTTGGATGTAAAATTTTGATTATAAATTTCGACAACTAAATTTTTTAAGAAAAGCTTTTTGGCAATTATTTGAAATTTAACTGAATTAAAATTTTTATTTTCTTTGATAATTCTAATAAGAAAAATCACAATCTATAAATATAATTAAGTAAAGTTTGAGTATTTTTTATAATGTAATTCTTATAAGGGAGTGTGTTTTTATATTAAAATGGTTGGTTGATTTCCATAAAAAACAGAGAAATTAAGTTTTATTAATTAACGCTTATATGTTATCATAATAATATTATTTAGGTTATCAACAGAATTAGTTTAAAATTTAGTAATGGTTTTATATAGATACTATTCGAATGTGAAATTTAAAATTTTTGAATTACGAATAAAATTAATTACCTCATCTTATGATTATATTTTCTTAGAAAATGTAGAAGTTGTGCAAGTAAATTTAAGTTTATCTTGATCAAAGTTGATTAAGATAAATTTTTAATTATGGACAATTTATTTTAGTATATTTTCCCATCTTTGATCGGTTTTGGTTAAAAGGTATTTAGACCTCAATGCTTTATGATGTATATAGAGCATTGAAACTAAAATAAAATTAACTAGTCCCCCAAATAAAATTGAAGATAAGTCTATGCTATTACTGTATAGTAAAAGATGAATAATTCTCAATATTAAAATCACAAAGCTTAAGATTGATGATTCAATAAATTCAAGAACAAAAATATTGACAATATTGGCAGCCATTTGTGTTGAGCCTTTAAAATACATAATAGTTGCTTCATCTTAAGGATCAAAAAATAAGAGATAAACAACATAAGCAATATTCAGGAACACAATGTTAATTCTTATTTAAATATCTGTTTTAACCGGTATAAAACTAAATGGAATTGTAAATCCCCAAGTGACAAGTAATGGATAAGTGACTAAATAGTTTTTTTCAACAAGTGAAAAAATTAACTTCGTTATTAATAGCGCTTATAATCCTACAGTACATAATTTTAAGTAAAATTTTCTTTTTGGGAATTGTTGCTCTTGAATGTAATTATTTTCAACATCTGGATTCAGAAATTGTAATTTGATTTTGTGCATAGTATGTATATTATATGAAAAAATGAATAAATATAATATTTAGATATGAAAAGAAAAGACCCGATAAAATTAAATCTTAGTTTAATAATATAATGGACAATATATTTGATTAATCCATATAAGAGATTAAAATTGAAAAGAGTATTACTAAGTTAATATAAAACAATCATGAAATCATTCTGTTGAATTGGACAATTTATTATGATATTTTTCAGCCATTTTGGGTGGGTTTTTATTATTATTTAAATCTATAACTTTTCCAAACTTTTCTTATTGATTGAGTTTGATTTAGATAAGAGGCTGGCTTTACTATTAATTTTTAATGAAACTGATTATTAGAGTGATAGTATAAAATGTTAAAGAAATTATTATATTTATGGTTATTAAACTAACTAAAACATAATATTTATTGATTATATGAGAAATTATTTGTTGGGTAATATAATTGATTGAGAACATAATTGTTCGATATTGAATTGTTTAGTTTAGAATGGCATTTTCCATATTATTGATGGAAATCCTGTAATAGTAGATGAAAATTAAAGAATTTCCATACTTTTAATAGAAGTTACTGGATTATATTTTTAGAGTATACTAAACCTTGAAGAACTCTAGAATGAATAGGAGAGTTTGAACTATGATTGTTAACTATTCGGTCTTTCATGTACTGCTCTTCTTATAACTTATTGTTATGGTTATAATTTAATTCAAAAATCTATTTCCATTATTTAATTAATCTTTTAGATTTTACTTAATTTTAAATTATTATAATTAAGAAGGTCAAATTTCTACTTAATCTTATTCATTCTTAACCTAATCTATAAATTATCTAGTCATATCATGCTAATTATTTATATATTTTCTCGTCTACATTATCTATAAGTTTTTATAAGAGTCTTAACAAATTTCTAAGAATTTAATTTTAAAATTCGACCATCTATCATAAACTAATCTATTAAATTAATAAATTCTATTCATTAATTAATAAGTTTGCTTTAAGATTGTGAATTTCAATTATTTTCTAAATTTATATAAATGCACCATAGAATTCTNTAATTATTTTCAACATCTGGATTCAGAAATTGTAATTTGATTTTGTGCATAGTATGTATATTATATGAAAAAATGAATAAATATAATATTTAGATATGAAAAGAAAAGACCCGATAAAATTAAATCTTAGTTTAATAATATAATGGACAATATATTTGATTAATCCATATAAGAGATTAAAATTGAAAAGAGTATTACTAAGTTAATATAAAACAATCATGAAATCATTCTGTTGAATTGGACAATTTATTATGATATTTTTCAGCCATTTTGGGTGGGTTTTTATTATTATTTAAATCTATAACTTTTCCAAACTTTTCTTATTGATTGAGTTTGATTTAGATAAGAGGCTGGCTTTACTATTAATTTTTAATGAAACTGATTATTAGAGTGATAGTATAAAATGTTAAAGAAATTATTATATTTATGGTTATTAAACTAACTAAAACATAATATTTATTGATTATATGAGAAATTATTTGTTGGGTAATATAATTGATTGAGAACATAATTGTTCGATATTGAATTGTTTAGTTTAGAATGGCATTTTCCATATTATTGATGGAAATCCTGTAATAGTAGATGAAAATTAAAGAATTTCCATACTTTTAATAGAAGTTACTGGATTATATTTTTAGAGTATACTAAACCTTGAAGAACTCTAGAATGAATAGGAGAGTTTGAACTATGATTGTTAACTATTCGGTCTTTCATGTACTGCTCTTCTTATAACTTATTGTTATGGTTATAATTTAATTCAAAAATCTATTTCCATTATTTAATTAATCTTTTAGATTTTACTTAATTTTAAATTATTATAATTAAGAAGGTCAAATTTCTACTTAATCTTATTCATTCTTAACCTAATCTATAAATTATCTAGTCATATCATGCTAATTATTTATATATTTTCTCGTCTACATTATCTATAAGTTTTTATAAGAGTCTTAACAAATTTCTAAGAATTTAATTTTAAAATTCGACCATCTATCATAAACTAATCTATTAAATTAATAAATTCTATTCATTAATTAATAAGTTTGCTTTAAGATTGTGAATTTCAATTATTTTCTAAATTTATATAAATGCACCATAGAATTCTTCTATAAATTCTTTTTTTATATATCTCTAGGATTTTTTACAAAATTCTTTCGTTTCACTACATCTTCAATATCCTCTCCTAATAGATTGCATATATCAATCGTTATATTATATTGTTTCTTAAGATATTTTCAAATAAATCCAAATGAGGAGCTTTTAATTCTGTTTTCATTAATATTTATTCTTTCTTACTTAATTTAAGTATTTAGTGATGTATATTACATTATTATTAAGTATTCCTTATTAAGATAAAATTTAATAATTTATTATTATTAACAATTATCTAGATTATAAAATAATTCTTAATTATTATAAATACACTATTTATATTTTGTATCTATTAAAGAAATGTAAAATAAAAATCTTTTACTTCAATATAGATTTCTATTTTTAAATAAATAAAATATACTTAATTCTTTATTATACTCTTTTTATTGAAGTTGATTTAACAAATGATTGAAAAATTAAATTATTTCACAACTTTATTAACTTGGAGATGACAATCTTTGAATTGAATATAATTCAAAACATTCCTTCATCAAAAGTGTTAAAAAAAATTTTAATGATCAATGGATTAGAATTTCTAAAGTTAAATAACGCTCTATAACAATATAATCTGATAATAAAAATTAGAATTAAAAAATCTTAGAAAAGCAAAATAACGACTCACTTTTTACTGCTTTCAAAGAATAATTTTAAAAGTTATCCTTCAAAATTAGAAGCTTTACTCCTACTAATACTGATTTGTAGAATAAAATTAATTATATAAATGATGAATAAAAACAAGAACTCAAAACTTTAGATAAACAAAATATCTATTATTTTAAATCTTATTTTTATATTATATTACAAAAGACTTAGCAAGAAAATATGATGCATATTTAGCAAATACAAATACAGTATAATAAATATGATAAAAAGATATTGTTTTTCAGAAATTAATATTGACTATTTAATAATTAATCACTTATAAATATTAGTTGAATTATCAAATTGATTAATAATTATCTAAACATACGACACTAATGATTATAAAATGTAAATCGATTTTTAAGAAGTTTAATTAGCTGTTAAGAATTATACAATTACTTAATTTTCTAAGTAATTTCTATTCATTTAGTATTAATTGAGATTCAAGATGAAATCAAAAAACTAAGATGAATTTTATGTTAGTATATTATCCAAAATCAATATAGATCTACTCTCTTAAATTTTTGAATTAGATAAATTATTCAATCATGTTTAATTTCTAAATTTAATTACTCTCATTAATCTTTAATAAGATGATTTATCTATTTATGTTATTCTTAAATATAAGTAATATAACTAAGTTATTTTAAGAAGATATGATCATTCATTAAAAAACAGATATGAATGAATTAATAAAATTAATAATAATATTCTTTCTAAAATATATGAAGAAATATAAAACCTTAGATACAATCTGTAGATGTTTATTCTATTGTTAATAGTTGGCAAAATTAAAAATCATTTATATATTTATCATAACTTTTAATTGGTTTATATATGTATGTGAATTATTATTTCTTCTTAAAATAGAATTACATATTATAATTTTTATCTCAAATTTCAATCGTATGCTAGAATAGATAACATTTACATCAAACAAAAAGAGTTAGGATGTTACTCTAAAAAGTCTCTTAGATACACCTCTACGTTGCATTGTTGCCAAAATTATTGAAGTACGCATTAGTAATCCTCTTAAACTGATTTTAAGAAGAAAAAGAACATGTAGGGTCGTTTTAGTATGCGATGAAAATTTGTGCTTAAAATAAAATAATCGAGATCTTTAATAAATTACCAGGAATTGTTGATGAGTTATTTGTTAAAGCCGATGATATTATTACAATTCAAAGTGTTCTTTATACTTTAACCTATCAAAATCAAGATATACAAATTCTAGATATTCAATTCGCCATTCCTATTAAGAAACATCCAAAAATTAGAATTAATATTATCAACAAGAAACAGTCTGATGAATCAATCCAGAAAGAATTCAAGCAAATAAAATTAACTCAAGAAAATCATTTCAATATTTAGTCCTAAAATCATAATGTTGAATTACAAATAGAAAATCATTCTTAAATTGTAAATTATTTTATATTTATATGAGGTTTTTAAAAATTCATAATAAAATGAATGATTTATATTCAACCAGTAATTTAATGATTTTTTATTTAATTTATATTATTTTTAAATGAACAAACCTGAAGAAACTATCCTAGTCATTTAAACTCCAAATAAACTCAAACTCTTTAACTTACAAAATCAATCAATTAATAAACTAATCAAATGCAAAATAAATACAAAATCCAATTAGCAAAAATATTGTAAAGATCATAAAAAATTCTTCAATTTCTTATCATTCGTTATAATTTATACAATATTTATTATTAATAGCTATTATATATTACTCATCCCCTATTATAAACTTTTTTATTCTATTTTTTTTCGCTTCAGTACTACTTTTTATTTAAATCTTCATTTAATATAAATAAAGCATGTTATTATTAAAATTATTACTTAAATATATATGACTTATTTTCTACCTAAAATAAAAGGGATGAATAGAAAATTATTTTCTCAAGCCTTTATTTTTTAAAACCTCGAATAAAAATTATTTTAATTTGTCTATTTCTATACAATTTTTGCATCAATACAATAATATTATTATTTTTTACTTTATAGTATTGAATATTTATTTAGCAAATATTTAATTATAATATCCTAATTAATGAAATTAAATATGAAAAAAATTAAAGAAAATAATTATTGTTTATAAATTCCAACCTATTTACTTTTCCAGAAAAAGATTCAAAAAATATTATTGTTTAAATTATCAAAAAAATCATAGAATTTAAAAGAATTCCTTTATATCTTTATATATTTATCTTTGGAATTAAATAATATTAATTATAATTTAATAGATTACCAAAAGAATCATGGAAATGAGGAGATTATTTTTATTAAATAATTAGAATTTTTTTTAAAAATGAACAAATGCAACTTTTTTTCTAATTTCAACCTAAAATAAGAGTCATTAACATCTCTTAACCTTTTTTTATTTTTATCATTTTTTTTCTCTTTTTTAATATTATGATCATACTACTACCACAATTCCATTTTCTATTCTGCTATCCAAATATATTCATGAGAATGCAATTACGTTTTTTTATCATCCATTTTTGAATAATCCTCCCCATTTTTAATAGAATAACACTTTTCATCAAAAAGGATAATAATTTCTATCATAATTATTGTTTATATTTGTTGATCTTAGTTTGTCATAACTTCCTTTTTTCTCAACATTAATTTTCCATTCTATTTCTATAACAAAATCCTTTTAGTAATTAATAAATCTGTATTTTAATTAGGATAAATTTATCTCTATTGTTAGTTGATAAAATATTTTTATGTAAGATTGATTTTTTTTTCTTTTAAAAAATTGATTTTTAAAAATTGTTAATCAAAAAGATTTTATAAAAAAATCTAGATTAAATTTATCAAGTTAATTATTTATAATTGAAGATATTCGAAATAATAATTAATCAATCTTTTTTTAATATGAATTTATATTCTAAGAAATTAAATTAAAATGTTACATATGATTTAAATTTAATAAAGAATAAAGTCATCAATCTTTGATTTACTAAGAAGAATTTATTTTCTAAATAAAACTTATTTAGAAAATATATAATAATATTTTATAAAATAAAAAATTAATCTGTAAAATAGAATTATTAACAATTATTGAATTTATAAATATATGTTAATAAATCAAAAACAACCTATATCAATACAATTTTCATTATCACATACATTATAAAACCAAACTTTTTTGTAAATGATTGCTTAAAGTTGATCTTATGTATTTCTTTATAATCTATAGTAAATATGCTTTCCTACCCTCTTACCATTTTGGTATTGTCCCTCTGAATAAGCTTTCACTTATTGATCATGAAAATATAAATGTGTTTTTATTCCTTAACCACTTAAAATGTTGTTTTCGAAATTTCCTTCCCATTTATAAGGTTCACCCTATTATAAATTTTCAGTATTAAATAATTATTTAGACCCTTGCCCATTAAATTGGTTATTTTTCCAAGATCCCTTAGAGAGCATATTATTTTTATAATCTAATTCTTCTCCTATTCGATATTCACCTTTTTCAATAGTACCTATATAGTATTTTATTTTCTTGAATTTTTCTGGATTGCTAACAGATTAGTATTAATAAATTAATGATTTTTGACCTTAAATATTCAAACCATTAAAATCCTTATCAACATTTATATAATGAAAAATTATATTACCAGCTATTTTCATTATTTCTCCGCAAAAAATTCCTTTTTAGATTTCTCCAATATAAATAAGCTCTGAAATATTTTTATTTTTATATATATATAAATCTTTTTTGTTTTATGAATGATTAGAACTGTACAATTTAATTATGATAAAAAATTATTTTAAATTTTAATCGTCGAAATTCTCTTCGATTTTCTTTTAAAGATCTAATTAAAAATCTTATTAATTTGAAGATAATTTATAAGCACATATCTTCGTTAAAACATTATTATCATCTTAAGGATTCAATTCAATAATGGGATCTTAATTTTGTTAAGGTTATTTTACAAATAAATTTTATTTTACAGGTTAAGTTTATTCTACAATGTAATTTTATTAATCAGGTTAATTTTATTCATCAATAAAAACTACAACTTAATATAATTCTTCACTAATTTATTATGTTGCTATTATGTCTGGTTTAATCTCAACTTTTATTTATTCTTACTCATCTGTTTTTGATTCTACAATATTATTGAAGAGAAATTCACTTTTATCTGTATTATTAATTTGTTTGTAAAATTTCATTAGTTTTTATTTTATTTCTATTTTCTTTATTAATTCTTCCTAATTATTGTCTTTTATTAAATTTTCTATATTTTGATCTAAATGAACTAAACTAATAAATAAATCTTCTTTTTTCAATCCTGTAAAATATTCAATCTAGCTTTATTCTATTTTATTTAAATTTTGTATATATTCATATAAATTTATTAATCTACTAATTTCTTTTTTCAGTTTTTCATTTTATTAGAATTATTCATTTTTATCTATGTTATTAAGTTATTACTAACTAAAATAGTATAAGAGGTTTAAATCAAATTCAACAATTAATTTATTAAGAATTTCATCAACTTTTATAGAATTATCTTAAATCATTAATTCCTATTTATTGATTTAATAATCGGTTATTAGTGATTCGATTTAATTAAATTGCTTTTCAAGTTCCCTTTCACTCAATTATTTATTTTCTAATATATCAGAAATTGTTTATTTTATGAATACTACTCCTTCTTTTGGAAAGTCTGGGTCTAAGGCTATTTTTTTAATTTAATCATTTCTGTTCTCGAGCAACTTTTTACAAACCTCGATTTTCTGCAAATTCTCCTTGCCTTCAAATGGGCTAAAAATCTCCAACATCATGACTCCAATTGCATATTAATCTTACAGTTTTACAGAGGATTCATCTCTTACCTTGAGATTTTAAAGTATATGGCCTGAAGTTACATTATTATTAATTAAATTTACTAATTCTTGAGAGAGATATGGATATAAATTTCTTGTATGCTAATAATCACTTTTTTTATCGATGAAATTAACGATATCAATATATGGATTATTTTTTTAATACCCAAAATCAGTCAAATATAAATTTTCATTATACATAATGATATTGTTTGGTTTTAGATTTCTATGCAAAATATTGTTATGTTTTAAAAAAAATAGAATTTCTAATAGCTTTTTAAAGAGCCTAAACTTTTATCTTGATGTAGAATATTTTATTCTTTTTGAGAGAGGAATAGATTTTTAATCACAATCATAAGTTACAATTATTAGTTTATCTTTTAGAGATTCTGAAATATTTTTTATGCCTAAAACCTTATTTGGATACTTTTTTGCATAATCATTTTGCAAATTTATTAATTCTTTTTAACAATTGTACTCGATGGCAGAATTTACTTAAATCTTTTTAACAATGTTATTTTCATGATTAATAAGGATGTTCTTTAAATTGGGATATAATTATGATGGTGATTAGGACATCATATAATTTTTAAATAATTTATTAAGATATTTGTTTTTATTATTGTGGAACTTAAAAAGTAATATTAATAATATATTTTAACAGCTAGATATTTACATAAACTTCTAAACTAAAATCTTAGTCATCATAATTAATACTATAGAACACATAATAGTAGAAATAGTTTCAGTAACCAATGTTTGGAGAAATAAGTCCATCTACTCCTTAAAAATTTAATATAGTTAAGAACTTAAAAGCATTAAATATGCCTTCATAATAAACAGAAAGCAGCTTTAGATAGAGTAATGGAAAAAGTATAAATACATAAGAAAGTTCTTAAGTGAATAAAGAAAATATTAGCTAAAGAGTGGAAACAACTTAAATAGAAATTTAGCTGATACATGTTTTGTAGGAGAACAAGAACTTAAATGATCTTATATAAAAATTAAACAGGGAAAAATAGTAGTTATAAATTATAGAAAAGAATATAGATTTTAATCTAGTTAGATAAAGATTTGAGAGCCGTGAATGAGTTATTAATCAATAGAGCGATGTATGGAAAAAATATATAAAAAATTTTGTGATAATACTAAGGATTTATGCAATAGATTAAATGATATTAGATAATTTAGATTAGGAATAAGAAGTATTATAAGTAATAGAAGAGAATGAGAGGATGAGAGGATAAATGAATGAAAATAAAAAATGCAATAATAAATATATAGTTTGGATATAATGATAATATTTTGATCTTATATTGAAAAATGGAAGAATTTAATTGAATATTTTGGATTGATCATTTTGTAATCAATTATAAAAAGTTAAATATTAAGTTTCAGATAAAAATAATTAGATTATTTTTTATGAAGAGTAATTATCAGAATTAGAAAAAGTAAATAATTTTATAAAAATAGATCATATGATTTATCAACAATTTATAGTGTATAATAATTGGAAATTCAGAAATTGAATAAAAAGAGTAACAAGAATTAATGAAGACATAGTTAGATGAGATGATTTTAAGAAGTGAAATCTATTTGAGTGAGATTCAGAGAGAGAAAATATGAATAGATGATTATTTTGATTTGTTATAGAGTGATTTAGAAAAAAAGAAGATTCGATTAGATATGTACCATTTATGTAATATATATATACGCACTTCATTATAAGGCTGGGAACTCATCTTAGTTTTAGGCCTTCTTTTATTTCTTGGCTTTTGATTCCTAAATAATATTTGAGATAGATACTTCAGTTTGTGTCTCTTCTTCTTCTTTTTTGCCCCAGTTTTCCCGGTTCAAATAATACTCCTTACGCTCCTAAATGCTCTTGACAACTTTGTCAAGCTCAGTGATGTAGAATGGAGTTGCCACTTTAACTGTATCGAAGAATTAGAGAGTTTACAAATCATGTTATAAGATACTTGGTTTATCATCTTTTTTCTCCTCTTTCACGTCTTTTTATTATTATGGTTACTACTAAATTAAAATATAATAAATACCTTATTCTTCTTTTTTGATTTTAATTGACTAAAATTATAGATATCATCTTAATTATCTTTTTTGATAACTGTACATTTTTCTTTTTTCCAATCATCACTCTTTAAAACTTATTCAATATCTATTTATTTTTATTATTATGCTTATTATTATGCAGCAGTAGGTCTTAGTTTATTACAATATGTTATTAAAGTATCACAAAGATCTAATTATTAAATTTAAATATATACCAACTTAATATTAAAATGGATTAACATTTTCCATTTCTTTAGCTTTAGCTTCAGCTTCAGCTTTCTCTTCTGCTTCCCTATCAGCTTCTCTTTTAGCTCTTGCTTCTTCTCTCTTTTTTCTTTCTTCTTCCTTCTTTTTTTTCTCAGAATCTCTCTTTATTCTATTAATTTATTTTAAGAACCATTCTCTATATTTTTATAAATCTTCATAATCTTCATATTTATCCCAACTACTATTATAATCTTTCTTCATTTTTTCTTTTCTTTCTTTCAATTCCTAAACTTTAGCTTCTATTATTTATCTTTCTTTATCAATCAATGGATTTTATTTAGTGACTACTGAATCTTTAGTACTATCCTTTAATTTATCATAATCAGCCTTATATTAATTAATTTCGGTATTTAACTCTTAAATACTTTAATAAAGAGTATTCATAGCTTTTCCTATAGCTGCTGATTTAATTCTTAAAGCCTTCTATTCTTTTTCTAATTTCTACAATGGTTCAATATACGGAAGTGATCTTTCTAAAGCACTTACTTATTATACTATTCTCTTTTCTTCATTTGCACTCAACTTATCTTATTAAAGTGATTCCTTTAATCTAGCCATTTCTTCTATTATTCTATCTGGATCATCTAAACTCTTCATCTTCTATCTATATTCTTAAGCTTAGTTAAATAGTTTATTAATTTAATCTTTAATCTCATCATTATCAACCTTCATACTTTTTAATTCTTTTTATTTCTCACTCACCAATTTAATCTTATCTCCTATTACTTATCCTAATGGTTTAACTTCATTCTAAAATTTCTCTTGATTACCTTATCTAGCCATCTATTATTATTCCTTTACATTCTTCACAAAATCATTCTAATATGTTAATATAAAAACAATTACAAAATGATTCCATTGCTTTCTGATATCTTCATCAATCTTATCTAATTATTTGTAATACTCTTCCTTATTTGGTTTTTAAGGTGCATGAGCTGGTAATTCTGGCACTTTACTCTCAAGAGTAATCTTAGTCTTATCCCAGTCAAATTCAGGACGCTTTCTCTCCTCTCTTTGTTTCTTCTTTTATTACTTCTCTCCTTAATCTACTTTCTTTTCTTATGTCTCTGTCTATCCTTCTGTTCCAGCAACTAAATTCCATCAAACTATTATCATACCTTCCTCACCCTTTACAACATATTGAACTTGTTGTTACTTTTGTTTTGGCTCTCTCTTTCTGTTCTCTCCTCTGCTCTAGTTTCCCTTCTTCTCCTCCTTTTTCACTTCTGTCTATGGTGTTGGGTCCATACAAATTTTTTTAAAATATAGATATTTTTTTTAATTGCCCTACACGTATTTAATTTTCTACTAATACTATTCGCATTATTCATCAAATTTATATCACACTATTTTAAATTTTCTTATAATTCGTTTTTTTTTTCTACTTTTCTTAAATCAATCACTCAATACTCCTATACAACATCTCTTCTACAACTTTAAATTAATTTAATACTCACAAAATATTTTTTTTATTTTTTCTTCTTATTAAGTAATTCTTTATTGATAAATTTATGTTCATCCTTTACAAGACCTTTCAATAACTCTTAAAAATCACTATAATTTTTTATTGACTAAATATAATATAATTTTTTTATCTATATTAAATATATTAATAACAGTTCTGATTTAAATAAATGAAGTTGCCTTTGAGTTTAAGTATTCTAAGGGGAAATAAATCATCTATATCATTTATTAAGATATAGATAATCATTTTGAAAATACATTTTATATTTATCTTTAAAAACAATTGTAATGATTAAATAACGAGGAATCTTGTCAAAGAAGCCAAAGCTTTTATAATAATTTAAATACATAACAAATGATGTAATCAATTCAACAATAGTTCAAGCTATTTTTAAGAAAGTGGTTTGGATAAAAGTTTATCAGCTCCGGCATCTAAACACATTTAATGAGTTTAGAGATCATTAAATGCCGTAAGCATGTAAATCTTAATTTAGCCATTTGTATTTTTTATGTCTTAGATGCACTGGAATCCATTCATACCAGGCATATTGACATCCAAAAATACTATGTCATATATTTTTTTTTATGACATTTCAATGGCATCTCTTCCACTATAAGCCACATCCATATTGAGAATGCCAAATTTAGTTAATTACAATTTGAGCAATATGCAATTGAAAGTTTCATCATCAACAATCAAAACTTGCAATAATTCTCTCTTTTTTTGTTTTTTATATAGAGGAGTTATGTGACATGTACTGAATATATTTTTATAAGGGGAGTGTACTGAAATATCATAATCGATAGAATCAATACTTGATTAATCACCTGAATAATCATAACGATTTTGTTTATCATAATTTTTATAAATGGCAAATTAAAAAGTTGAACCAACTCCCGTTTGGGATCTTAAAAATATGTACTATATTGGACCAATGTAGCCACAAAGCTACTTACAAATGATTAGACCTAACCCGACTCCATTTCTATTTAATTACACTCAATACTCTACTTATTTATGTTAGTATCATTATCATAGGTAGCAAAATTTCTAAATAGACCACGTTGAATTTCTAGACTCATTCCACTTCCATTATCTGTAACTGTGCATATAAAAATTTTGGATTTATTTTTAAACAATATTCCAACATCCACAATACTTTTATTAGAATCAATTTATTCTTTAATTGCTTAACAAAATTTATAAACTTCTTTAAAATCATCAGAAAATTTAACAATTATTTTTCCTTTAGATGTAAACTTAATTGCATTTGAAATTAAATTGAATAATACTTATTTTATTCTTAATGGATCATTGTAATAAGATTAATTTGGTTTTAAATTAACTTAAATTTCTAATTCAAGATTTTTCTTTTAAATTTAAATTTAAAAAACATTCTTGATCTCTTAAATAAGATTAGAAATTTCAAATTAACTGACAGCCAATTTTAACTTTTACTATTTAATTTATGCAAAATCTTATAAATCATTAACAAATGATTATAAAGTTTGAACATTGGTTTAACACATTTACAAATAATTACAACAAGATTAAACTTATTGTTAAATTCCTGCATTATCACAATCTTATAATTCATATAAACCTTCTTAAACTAAAGTAATCATAGATTGAATAACACTGATAGGATTTTTGAGATCATGACTAACAGTAGCTAATACACTATCTTTATATTAATCTAACTTTTCTAATTAAGAAATCTTAATTCGATCAGTTAGATCAATTAAAGAAATAATAAAACATCTATCATGTTTCCATATACAAGGTGATACCAAAATATCAAAAGTTTGATTGTTTTGTAATCCAGTTAATTTTAAAGGTAGACTCTCTTACATCTCTTTATTCTGATAATTTACTATATATTAATAGAGTATTTGATTTAAAGATATGGGTTTGTCTACCATGTTAATCTATTCACCAGTAGATCCTTTATAATTATTACAAATTTATTCATAACTGAAATTGACCTTCAAATTATAGTAGGAAAGATTAGATTCATTGCAATTTATGATGTTAATTAATGTTGTTCTTTGGAAAATATTGTCAATTTATGCAAATTCCTTTTTGCATGCTTAATTGGCAAAAAGTATTTCAAAATAATCTACTGATCTCTAAAATGAATTAAAAAATATAGATTTACTTTTGATTAATCTGGTGACAATCTAATAACAAATAGATTCTACTATAAACTATGATTCAATACAGCTTCTTAGTATGATAAATCATGACTACATTTGAATTTCTTAAAAAAATATACTAGTTCTCTTCTTTATCTAGTGTAAATACAAATAGTGACTATTAAAGTAAATACCCATTGAAATGGTAAAACAATCCAATCAAAAAATTAATCAAAACATTAGAATGTAACTTACATAATTGTAAAGTAATAAATAAAATATTTCTTGTCATTTAAACTTTAAGTCATATAGACACAATATAAGGATACAGATCCTCTCATTAAATAAGTTTGTTTGTAGGCTGCTAAAAATAGAGATAGAGTTATCATATGTCCCATTTTCCAGTAATCATTGCATTTTTGGTTCTTTCGAATTTTCCAAATTTATAATAGACTTGACATTGGAAATAGGAACAAAATTTATGAGTAAATGGATTCATAATCCGAAATGATCGCAGATATTGTTATGGCAAATTCAAAGAAGAGTTTGAAGGATTCCATTAAGATCACTGTTCCTTTATTAAACTTGTTTTAAAAGTTTTAATAGTTCTTTTCAACATTCTGATCTCGAAAATTTAAAGCTGCACTTAAAAAATCATTCTCAATTTGTAGGTTTTTTTATAAGGAGATTAGATACTGCATTTTGTTAAAGTTAAGTTAATATATATTTTGTTTTTAATATATAAATAATTTTTGAAAATGAATTAACCACAGACTAGACAAGTATAAAAATTAACAATCGATGATAAAGTAAGTAATTCATATTATACCTTTAGTAAAAATATGAGCTTTAAAAGGAAATATTCATCACAATAAGATTAATTGATATGGTAGAAAAGTGTGCATAATTGGCAGATGATAAAATAACACCTGAAAAGCATTGTTAAGAAATCACAAAATTGATTGAAAGATATAAAACCTTTACATCTAAAATAGACAAATATGATTTAAACTAATTTATAAAGGTTTATATATAGTTTATATTGATTAGGAATATGGACTAGAAGATTGTAAATTTGGAATAGATAGAATTAATAAAGGACCTCCTTAAATAAAATAAGGAAATAAGATATAATTAGTAGTGGATTTAATGCAGAAATTCTTTTAAATGCAAGATATAATTTTAGAGAATAAAGAATACCCAAAAGTACCAATCTTTAGACCGATTGTAGATTAATTGATAATTTTGTTGAATAGAGCTAAGACAGAACTTCCACCTTATAAATCGTATTTGGATGATTTACAATAATTGTAAGATTGAATATAAAAGGATTATAGTTCTAAATAACATCTTGAAAATTAAATAATGGGAGTAATACCAGAAGATGAGTTTTAAAAGTTTGAAAGTATAATAGATTTGGCTTAATAAAGTTTTATGACATCCCATTAATAATAATGAGCGAAATAGTTTATTTATTAGTTTCATCATTAAATATAATCTATTGATATTGTTAAACATAATAAATCATTCATCTTCTTCTTAAACCACTTATTTTTTCTTTTTCTTAGGTTTTTCAATAACTTCTGGGACATCTTATGCTTCTTCTTCTTATAAAATTTCAGGTTATGGTTATTCTTTAAGAATATTATTATTAACTTCTGAAACATAGAATTATTGCCAATCTTAAGGAGTATTGGCATTAGGTTTACCATGTGAATCAAGTAATCCTTCTTTAATAAGAGCTTTCTTTCTAAGTGCTCTAGGTCCAGTACCCCATCTAAAATAATAAAATAATTAGAATACTTTCTGGGATATGTTTCTCTATCCATAATAACTCTTTTAGATTTACAAACAACTCCATGATCACATGATGCTATTTCAGCAGTAGTCATTTAACTATAATGATAATAATATTTAATAATTTACGCTATTGCAACAGCTATTGCTTCTCCTTTAGTTGTAATTAAAACAATTTCATCTCCAATATCAATTTTATCATCAAATCTTAAGACACCTGGTACCATTAACTTTGCTCCATAACAAATAGCATTGACAGTTGAATCTTTTACCACAACTCTTCTAAAATTTGTTAATAAAACTTCTAAAGGAATAACAACATGTCTTAAATATGATTCATCCTTAAATTTATCATATCTATATTATGCATCCAAAACATCATGCATAGTTACCATATATTTATTTTCATCTAATATACCTGATCTAACTCTTCTTAATTCTTCCATATGACCTCCTACTCCCAATAATAAACCCAAATGTACACATAATGTTCTTACATATGTACCTGCTTCACAACTCATCCAAAATATTCCTAATCTTTTTTCAGGATCATATTCAAACAATTTACTCTCATATATTGTTCTAACTCTCAATTCTCTTTTTACTGCTGATATTGCAGGTGGTTTCTAAAATACAGCACCTGTTAAATCTTAAATAGCCTTCTCTAATTTAGCTGCTGATGATATTGCATCATGTAATCTATTATTATTAAAATACTTTACCTTATTATTCCTACGTATTCTTTACCTGATGATTATTATGCTTTTACTAATCTAGTTGCTCTATTCAGACATACTATCAATGCTCCTGTTACTTTTGGATCAAGTGTCCCTGAATGACCTGTCTTTTCTACTTTCAATATTCTCTTTATCCATGAAACAACCTCATGAGATGATGGATTTGATGGCTTATCCAAATTTATCACTCCATATTTCAAATGTTCTACTAATCCTCTCTTTAATGGACTCTAAATTATTAAATTTCTATTCTTACTGATCCACTTGGAATTGGAGTATAATGACATGTTAATATATTCATCCTTTCATAATTCTTTAATAACAATGGCCAATTTTAAGAATCTAATTTTGCTCCTTAATGACTAGATTTTATCACTTCCTCATCTTAAACCTATTCCACTTCCTCAACTCTTTTTTACTTTTTTACCTTTGTTGTAGCCNACATAGAATTATTGCCAATCTTAAGGAGTATTGGCATTAGGTTTACCATGTGAATCAAGTAATCCTTCTTTAATAAGAGCTTTCTTTCTAAGTGCTCTAGGTCCAGTACCCCATCTAAAATAATAAAATAATTAGAATACTTTCTGGGATATGTTTCTCTATCCATAATAACTCTTTTAGATTTACAAACAACTCCATGATCACATGATGCTATTTCAGCAGTAGTCATTTAACTATAATGATAATAATATTTAATAATATACGCTATTGCAACAGCTATTGCTTCTCCTTTAGTTGTAATTAAAACAATTTCATCTCCAATATCAATTTTATCATCAAATCTTAAGACACCTGGTACCATTAACTTTGCTCCATAACAAATAGCATTGACAGTTGAATCTTTTACCACAACTCTTCTAAAATTTGTTAATAAAACTTCTAAAGGAATAACAACATGTCTTAAATATGATTCATCCTTAAATTTATCATATCTATATTATGCATCCAAAACATCATGCATAGTTACCATATATTTATTTTCATCTAATATACCTGATCTAACTCTTCTTAATTCTTCCATATGACCTCCTACTCCCAATAATAAACCCAAATGTACACATAATGTTCTTACATATGTACCTGCTTCACAACTCATCCAAAATATTCCTAATCTTTTTTCAGGATCATATTCAAACAATTTACTCTCATATATTGTTCTAACTCTCAATTCTCTTTTTACTGCTGATATTGCAGGTGGTTTCTAAAATACAGCACCTGTTAAATCTTAAATAGCCTTCTCTAATTTAGCTGCTGATGATATTGCATCATGTAATCTATTATTATTAAAATACTTTACCTTATTATTCCTACGTATTCTTTACCTGATGATTATTATGCTTTTACTAATCTAGTTGCTCTATTCAGACATACTATCAATGCTCCTGTTACTTTTGGATCAAGTGTCCCTGAATGACCTGTCTTTTCTACTTTCAATATTCTCTTTATCCATGAAACAACCTCATGAGATGATGGATTTGATGGCTTATCCAAATTTATCACTCCATATTTCAAATGTTCTACTAATCCTCTCTTTAATGGACTCTAAATTATTAAATTTCTATTCTTACTGATCCACTTGGAATTGGAGTATAATGACATGTTAATATATTCATCCTTTCATAATTCTTTAATAACAATGGCCAATTTTAAGAATCTAATTTTGCTCCTTAATGACTAGATTTTATCACTTCCTCATCTTAAACCTATTCCACTTCCTCAACTCTTTTTTACTTTTTTACCTTTGTTGTAGCCATTGATTTCTTTTTTTAATTATATAAAAATTATTTCGAATTCAAATATTAATCTCTCTTAATCTACTTTTTAATCACTTTATACTCTTCTCTATATATAACTATCATTCTATTCACTCAATTTATATTCAAAATCTAATTTTATTCATTTTTGTTTCAATTTTTAACATATTATTTTTATTATTCACTTATGTCTTTAATTCTATAAATTTCAATCTTCTCTCTATTCCTATTCATTAGATTATTAAAAAAATATATATATTAATAAATATATTATTTTATTGAAAAAAATACATTCTAATAAATTTAAATATTTATTCAATAAAAAAAAAAGATTATTATTAAATATAAAATGATAGGTAAAAATATTCTACATGATTAAGCTGCAGATAAAGAAAGATAAAAAATTGTGGAGATTAACCTAGATGCTGGACAAAAAAAATTTTTGAAAAAAGAATGGGGCTTGTAAAATTCACTTGACAAGGTATTTGATAATCTTTGCTTACAAAAATATGAAGAGTTAATAAAATATTAATAAGAATTAGCAAAATAAGAAGAGTGTAAGAATTATATCTTAGGAATTCATGAGTATAGAGTAGATAAAAATAAAAAATAAATTACGATCAATTATAATTGTAGTGAAGATGCAAAATCATTATTAGATTTATATTTTTGTCGTGATAAGGATAAATCTTAATAAGATACTGAATTATAAAAATTAAATACTTATGATCAAAAATCTGAGATCTTTAATTAATTAATTAAATTATCAGAGTTTTTAAAAAATAATAATAATAAAATCATTCATAACAATATTAAACCATCTAATATCATTTTCGATAATAATTAATTATATCTCACCGATTTTGGATACAATGAATCTGATAAAAATAAAAATGGATACAATGAATCTGATAAAAATAAAAATCCATTTATTTTTAAAGATTGTTTAAATTTAATGAGAAATAGAATTAGCCCAAAGGAAAAAGAAGAATTATATCCTTATTTAGAAAGTAACTTATTAGAGGCAATTAAAGAAAAAGGATAAGAGGAAATGGGAAATAAATTAAAAACAAAAACTGAAGACGAAGCAAAAAGGTAAGATCAACTTGCATTAGGAGTTATGATGTTAGGATTATTTCATGATTATTAATTTAGAGAATTTAAAGATAAATTTGGAAATGAAGATTAAAATTATATAAAATTTAATAAACCGGCTAATAAAATGGAATAGATATCTAACTTAAAACATTTTAAAGATAACTTAAAACCTGATGAAGTTGGCTCACCAGATAAAATCATTGCAATAATATAAGAAATACTCAAAGAAAGGTTTTCTAATTATAATTAATTACCTCCTGATTTCCCTAGAACATTATCAATTTTTAAATATAAAATTAATAAATCAAAATTAATGAAAAAGGAAATATATGAATAAGCTTAAGGTTGTTTATAAGATAATAATAATGAATTTGATTTAAATCTTTTATATTATTTAAGTAAAGAAGAACTTAAGCATAAGTCTCAAAATATAAGAGAGTATTCTTCGGATAATTTTTAAAAAAAGTTAAAGGAAAAGATTAATAAGCTATTAAAAATCTATAACAATTTAGATAAATTGGAAATTTAAAATTTTGATAATGATCTTAAGGTACTTAACATAGAAGATTAAGTTATTGCTCTAATTTATTTAGATTAGAAGATAGAAGATTTTAAATTAAAGAAATATTATGATGAAGAGGAAACTAAAAAATTATTAGAATATTATAAATTAAAAGGGAAATGTGAAAAATTTTATTAAGCAATAGATAATACACCTGTTGATAATTTCAAATTTAATAATATCTAAAAGAAAGAATCATAAATAAATTAAAATATAAATGAAAATTAATTTGACATAATATTAAATAATATATCTGCATAAACATTTGAATTTAATTAAAATTTAAAATAAGCATCGACACTAAATTAGAATATAAATAATGAAAACGAAGTACCATAAAATAATAAATCTCCATAGGCATTGGAATTAAATTATAATTAACATTATAAATAAGCATCAACACTAAATGAAAATATATATGAAAACTAATTAGAAATACCATTTAATGATACATCTCCATAGGAATTTTAAACTAACTATGTATAACATTTTTAATAAGAACCATTAATAAATGAAAATACAAATGAAAACTAATTAGTAATACAATTGTAAAATCAAGAATAAATTTAAAACATACCCCTTTAAGAACAATAACAATAACCAATTTAAGAAAATTCTTAATAAATAATACAAGAATAATTTTTTGCAACATTATAAGAAGCGCTTGAAGATTTACCTGAAAAACCAAACTATATGAAAAAACGAATATTAAAATATTATTTAATATAAAATTATTTTGAAGAAGGTTATTAATTTGATTAAGTGAACGATTCTGGAGATAAAATTCAAATTAAAATTAAAAATCTTTCTTTAAATATTATTTAAACAATATAGTTAATAAAAGAAAATGTTATAATCCATGAAATTGAGAGTAAATAATATTAGAAAACAATTAGCAAATAATATTAAGTTCTTAAATTTACTAGGCATTTCGAACCCTTTGAGTATTTTATATTTGAACTAACTCAATAGAGTAAAATTTCTGATTCAAAAATTGATTTTACAAATTTCAAAAAGAATATCACATATACAGGTTAATATGATATTGATTTATACAACTAATCTAAAGAAATTTAATTCAAAAACTAAGGTACTCTTGAAATCTTAGATAAAAATTAACTTACTCCTGGAGAAGTTTGTAAAATATAAGGAAATTTTA